ATAGTGTGAAGGCTATTAGACAACAACTTCCGGATATAAGAGAAGCTTTACTTGAAGTTGCAGAAAAAGACAACGATGCTAAAATCTAAAGTGAAGCTAAATTGCTAGCAAATAATGAGCTTGGTCAATTTGAGTTTTTTTTGGTATCAATAGTCATTTGATATGAAATATTGTACATGGTGAACTTAGTTAGCATAAAATTACAATCAAAGGATATGCTTCTCGATGTTGCTATTAATGAAGTGAATATATTGATTGAGTACTTCAAGGAGTTTAGAGAAATAGGGTTCTCAAAGGCGATTAATGAAGCAAATAAACTTTCTATTGAAATGAATATTGATCTTGTATTCTCTCAAAAGCGGTCGGTTCGTAGAAAAAAAATCTGATGAGAATTCAAGCGATCAAGATGCGTATTTTCAACTAAGGAGAATTTTAAAGTTAATTACTTTTTATATATTGTTAATCAAGTGAGTGCTTCTCTTGAAAAAAGATTTTAACAATACAAAGAGTATGAAAAGATTTTTGGTTTTTTGTTTCCAAAGAAATGAAGGAATTTGATGACAAAGATCTTAAGTCATGTTGTAGCCATCTTGAAGCCACACTTAAGTCTGATGAACTATCAGATATCGATTCTCATGAACTTTATATGTAGCTAAAGTTGCTTGGTATGTTCTTAACGAGTGAAACTACCAACCCTATTGATGTTTTAAAATATATGAAAAAAGTCGATTGTTTTCCTAATGCAATTATTGCCTATAGAATCTTGTTGACTATTCCAATAACGGTGGCCTCTACAGAAAGAAGTTTCTCAAAATGAAAGTTGTTAAAGTCCTATTTACGGTCCACAATGTCACAATAAAGACTTAATGGATTGACGATGATAGCTATTGAGAACGATATAGTAGATACTATTGATTATGAAGAGTTGGTGAACAATTCTTCTTAAGGAGAGTCTCACGATTCATTTAGTTGTATACGATTATCTATTGTATTATCGTTTTTTGTTTTGATTCATGTTATAAAAGCGAGGTTTTTTAAGTTGCGCGTTGCGGCAGAAGTTTAATTGATATTTTTTGGGATTTACAATATTTTTTGAAGTTTAAATTTCATACTATTTGTCGATTTTTTTTATAATGTCAGGTGAAAAGTAGATAAAGCATGATGCTATACATGTACGCACTTTTCTAAATATAATGTTATAATAGGAATAAACAAAAGCAAGTCGTTAAAAATAAAATGTAAGTACATTGATATATCTTGCATTTACCCTTAAATCGCAGATACACGACTTTATAAGATTTACTATGTTTTCTCTAAAGGCTATTTTAGGCATTGTACTGTAAAATCAACTCAAAGATAAATATTGACATTGCAAAAACGCCAAAAACACGATTTCCGTTTCATTGTATGACATTGCCACCCGCGGCCTGAATCTTGCATATTTGTCTTCCCTTTTTAATTTTTATAAAGAATCACCAAAAACCAAAAGTAATGAATGCCATTGAGATTAAGATGAGACGTGAAACCTATAACCACATGACCCGGACGATGGCATTGCACATGGTTGATACCATGACAAAATCTAAAGCATCAAGTCATAATATTAGAATATTAATGAAAGGAAAAATGGGTTTTATCAGATATTAATTTGTATATTCATTTGTTAAACCTTCTTTTAAGTTGGTATGATACCAATGAGTTTATTTAACCACTCAAAGATCTTTTTTTAGTTACATTTTTTAAAAAATTTCAAAGTATTAGTGGCAATTCATAATTCATGAAGTTATAAAGTTATAAATGATGTTCTTAGTGTATATAAATGATATTATAGTGTGTATTTTATATAAATCATATTATAGTGTGTATTTTATATAAAGTTATAAATGATGTTCTTAGTGTATATATATAAAGTTATAAAACAATGACTTAACTTCTTAACTTCCATTATCTAAGATCATTTGACTTCCTGATTCAGTCTCGCTTTGACAATTCCAATAACAGATGTAAAACGATCACCATTTTAAAATTAAAATCATGAGATGTAAAAAAGAATAAACGTTCAGATAATGAAAAGGTGTATATTTTCAAATCCAAATCCGCTTCTTCTTCTTGGACGACCCATAATCAGATTTGCTTCATAAGACTAATATTAAAAGTATAGCTGAAGAATCTTAACTCTCAGTTCAAAACTATCATCTTTGAAAACCATCATGTTTGAAAGTACAATGCCATAATTGGATAAAGTTTCAAAAGTAAAATGTGTTTATAAGAAAAATATTCAAAAATACAATGTTTTTTTAAACATATTACACGATCAAATAAAAATGTTTCTACTTCTTTCATTTAGACCAAGAAAAAAAAACAAATGGTTTAGAAAAAAATTGGATAAAATTTTCAAATATGTGGATAACTTACCATATCTATAGGAACTTTCTTTTTAGCTTCTCCAAAGCTATTAGCCATAGCTGTTGAATTCTAATTCACATATCAACAACGATTAGTAGGAGATTTTACATGTAAACGATAGCTTGGTCCTTAAACTTTGAATTGATTGGTTAAAAAGTTATTCATGTGTTTTTGCCTGGTTTTAACGGTGGTAAACAATAAAATTGGTCGGAGATTGGACTAAAACTTGGAAAAATAATTATATTCATATGAATTTATTTTGGGTAATAATAGTTGTTGATGTGTTTTTGCCTAGCTAACAAAATCCAGGTCTTCAGTGAAACATGAGCCCTTTTTCAAAAGAGTTCTCGGTTGTCGAATCATGCAAAAATCAATGGCCTTCTTCCCAACATTTTTCCTTTCCCTTTTCTCCTTCCATGTCTTCTCTTCACCTAAATTTATTTAAGAAAATATGAAAAATTAGAACGCAATGTATATCTCTAATCATAAACCCAAAGTTACCAACGATGCTTGTGTTGTTCTCAACCATTAGAAAAACCCACTTTTGGGAGGAAGACAACAAACATTCAAGAATGGATTTACCAGTTCCATTGCTAAGAATCGGTCGGTCTATATTTGATAAAAAGAATAACCAGGCCTCCAAGAATACCCAAATAAAGAACTCACTCAAATAAAGAAATCACCTGATCTAGGGTTTCTGATGGCCGAGGTTGCGGTGGGTCATGATGGTGGTGGTGGAAATTGTATATTCTGGCGATGAAGATGATGGTAGTAGCATCGATGGTGAGGGGTGATTCCGGTGGAAAATTTTTAGAGAGACATATAAGGAAAGAGTTCCATAATCCATAAGAGAGAGAGAGAGAGAGAGAGAGAGAGGAGCGTGAAAGAGTTTTGTTCAAAATGAAGACATCGAACTGTGGTTGTGGTTGTATGATCTGAGTTTGTGAGCTTATGTTTTCCAAATGGAGTATGAACCTCAGTAATCCCAACAAGCATTTTCATGTATTATACTCAAACCCCTTCTGCTATAGCTTATTTCTTATCCCCATCGTTATAAGCTAAGTTTAAGTATTTGTATAAGAAACATTAAAAATCAGCTTATTGTGGTGGTTTAAGTATTTGTATAAGAAACATTAAAAATCAGCTTATTGTGGTGGAGAGAAGCTAAATAAGTTACTTTTGAAAAGCTTCCCCGCTTGCTGAAAGCTTATAGCTTATTTCTAATCTAAACACTTTTACAAAAACTGTTTTATCACACCGCTATAAACTAATAAGCTATAAACTATTTTATCCAAAAACCCTCTTACTAGAGTCGTATTTGAAGATGGAACTTCTTAGAGAGGGAGATGTATAATGGAGGAGCTTGTCGTGCCTTTCAGAACCACATTACAGATAACTGTTGGAGTGATTTGACCTTATCGATCAATAGTGAGCAATATTTGCGATGGTGGTAACCGTGTTGGGAATGATGGTAGTGGTCCTTTGCGATGTTAAACACTGAGGTTGTCTAAGGTTTTTTAAGAGGTATGGGGGACCGAAGGTCAAGGGAAGGAGAGAAGGTGTTGAAAAACAGTGAGCATACTTACCTCCTTTTCAAGCCCATACCACCATCATGTTCCTTTAAATGATAAAATACCTTAATTACCCTTGAAAGTCCTATAGTATGAATCCTCTCTAATAAATAAAAATAATTTTGCCACTTGTCATCTCTCATGAATTTTGACACTTGTCATTTTGTGGTATTTTTGAAATAAATATTATCCATTTGTCAATTTCTGGTTTATTTCGATTTTAAAATTAAAGTCATATACTATATATATATATATAAAGTATTAAATATATATAATATATATGAATTAAATTACAATGAATACATTTCTTTCTTTCTTAGTTTAAAGTTTTACATTAAAAAATATTTACTGCTTACACTTTAATATTTATTTTTTTTAAATTAACCCGTGTAATACACGAGTCTCATACCTAGTTGATATTAAAACTAGTATTGAACATTTTGTCAAATGTTATAGTATATAATAATGGCAAAATTAATGAATTTTGGTTATAAGTAAAAAATTATATTCGCGGACGCATTTTTTAGTTACGTACATGGCCCCAAAAATCAAACCGGCCCTGAGGTGACGGACTCATGACATGAGGTATTGCCATATGTTTGCAACGGGAGATTAATCGGCAGTGCTTGACCTTGATAAAGGAAATTCCCTTTTCGAAAAAAAGAATTACCGTTTTCATAATAATTATTCATTAAGCTTTTTCACAATTTTAAATAGTATTTTATTCATTTAGATTGCTTTTTCTACGTTAAAAAGGTCCACAAATAAGTTTGGTGAAAAAGTTTTATTATATTAAATTAAAGATACTTCAATTTTTTTGTTGAATCGGCTCTATGTGACACAAAAATGATTCTATTGTAATATGACAACCCTCCGTATACTTTTAATATTCCTTCTCGCTGTCTTTTTCCATAGCATGTTCATTATAGACTACAATCTTGGATTTTGTTTGTTGGCTGGATATATTAACGGAATTAAATTTCTTGGTTAAATATGTGAAAGAAGCTGGAAAGGTATACAACCATGGAGGGAGAGGTCGACAAATTCGTTGTGGTTTGGATAGTAGTATTGGCATGTCTTCTTTATTCTTACACAATAGGAACGTTAATCCCCCAAGGAACTACTAGACTTGTAGCTTTGTCCATGGTTACATGCCTCTTTCTATGGCTTCCACTCAATCTAACCACCATGCACCTCGGTGGTTTAACCTCTTTCTTTATAGCTTGGCTTGCAAATTTCAAACTTCTTCTCTTTGCTTACGGGAAAGGTCCCCTTTCTTCAAATCCACCAATCCCATTGCTGCGCTTTGTCCCTATGGCATGTCTACCAATAAAGGCCGTTCATACTCCATCTACTTCAAGCCCTGAAAGTTCGACTCAAGTGATCAAGAAGAAGGTGAAGAAGATATCTTTATTCAAGATCCTGTTGTTTGGGACGTTACTTAAGGTGTATGATTATAATGAATATATTCATCCTAAACTTAGGATGTCTTTGTACTGCTTCCATATCTACTTCATGCTTGACATAGTACTAGCCATGGTTGCATATGTCGCTCGAACCCTGGTGCAAATGGAACTAGAGCCACAGTTCGATGAGCCATATCTAGCTACTTCCCTCCAAGACTTTTGGGGAAGAAGATGGAACCTGATGGTCACTAGCATTCTACACCCAACCATATATGATCCTGTTCGTTCCATTTGTATACGCTTGGTGTCGAGGGAATGGGCATCACTAGTTGCAATCTTTACCTCGTTTTTAGTTTCAGGGTTGATGCATGAGTTCATCTTTTATAACATTGGAAGGCTGAAACCTACCGGCGAAGTTACTTGCTTCTTTTTATTACATGGAGTATTGGTGAGTGTTGAAGTTGCCATCAAGAAAGCAACAAAGGGAAAGTTACATTTCCCTCCCATTGTGTCTCGACCTTTAACGTTAGGATGTGTCCTCACTACTTGCTTTTGGTTGTTCTTTCCACCTTTTCTACGGTTCAAACCGGATGTTCGTGGATGTCAAGAAAGTGTTGCGTTTTTAGAGTTTGTGACCAACGGTCGGCTAATAAGCCCTGCTAATGCTTCATGCCCGTATCTACTATAAGTTAGGTATGTAAAATACACTTCAATAAGGACAAATTAAATAATCTTTTTAATTTATAACCACGATGTATGTTCTCGAGAAGACGACACCAGGAAGCATAGCAAATTAAAGTACGTAGAATGTTGACGAAACTTCCCAAGTCCTATTGAAAGCGACTTAGTGCGTGTTAATGTAAGGAATGTGAAGTTTAAGATATGATGATTTTTGTCGACATGTGAAATTTCCAAAAATGAATTAATTGGATAAAACTTATTTTGAGAATGCTAATTTGGAAAATTAGTTAAATAACAAAAGCTGGAAATTAGATTGATCTTCTCGTAAACTTCGATCAGCCATGGCGACATGGATGGTCGACCATGATGCAAAAAGTCTTTTCATTTCTGTGACAATGGTCAAAATTATGGTTAGTTGTGGTACAACACCACCGGTCTTATGGACTTGAAAGGGACTCAATAGCAGCCAACCAAATAAAAGCACCAAAATATTTCCTCCTTACCCTATAGACTTGACCGGGCCTTTAGACACAATAACAATTATCGAAATAAAACATCACATTACACTTCAAGATATGCCGACATTAGCGGCGACGCATGTTGCCGCAAAAGATAAAGGTTGTCGCCGCTAAAGGTATTAGCGGTGACCTGTCGCTGTAAAAACGTCACCGCTAATGCTTCGTCACTAACAGTGGCGGAGCTTCAATATTTCATTTGGGGGGGGGGGGGGGGGGGGAATATATAATTTGTATAAACATTGGTGAACAGGGGGTCATAGTCAAAATTTTATATTTTTGGGCTAAATATGTATAAAGTTAAAGCACTGAGACTATTTATGCCAAAAAAAATCAGGGGGGCTATGAAATATTTATGCCAAAAAAGTTAAAGCTAAATATTTCAGGGACTAGCCCTATGAAAGATCCGCCCCTGGTCGCTAATGCTCAGTGAGTCGCCGCTAATACGAAGGTGTCGGGCTATTGGTTTGTCGCCGCTAATAACTTCCGTCGCCGCAAATACTACGCCGCCGCTAATACTGTTATGTCGCCGCGAAAAGAAATTAATTTTTTTTTGTTTATTTAACATTAAAAGTATAAAAAACAATATAACATTTATAAAATATGGTACAATTTTATAAAAATATTAATCCATAAACAACCAATCCAAAATATAAATCCACAATCCAAAATATTAATCCATACAACCTAAAGTATTCTTCCAAACAAAACATTTCATAAAATCCTAAAGTAGTTACTCGTCCTCATCACCCCCATCATTTCCTTCATTATTATTTGGTGGTGGCAATGAGCAAAACCACTCTTCCAATGGCGCAGAACAGGTCGGGTCCTTTGTATAAACATTGGTGAACAGGGGGTCATAGTCAAAATTTTATATTTTTGGGCTAAATATGTATAAAGTTAAAGCACTGAGACTATTTATGCCAAAAAAAATCAGGGGGGCTATGAAATATTTATGCCAAAAAAGTTAAAGCTAAATATTTCAGGGACTAGCCCTATGAAAGATCCGCCCCTGGTCGCTAATGCTCAGTGAGTCGCCGCTAATACGAAGGTGTCGGGCTATTGGTTTGTCGCCGCTAATAACTTCCGTCGCCGCAAATACTACGCCGCCGCTAATACTGTTATGTCGCCGCGAAAAGAAATTAATTTTTTTTTGTTTATTTAACATTAAAAGTATAAAAAACAATATAACATTTATAAAATATGGTACAATTTTATAAAAATATTAATCCATAAACAACCAATCCAAAATATAAATCCACAATCCAAAATATTAATCCATACAACCTAAAGTATTCTTCCAAACAAAACATTTCATAAAATCCTAAAGTAGTTACTCGTCCTCATCACCCCCATCATTTCCTTCATTATTATTTGGTGGTGGCAATGAGCAAAACCACTCTTCCAATGGCGCAGAACAGGTCGGGTCCTTTAGTATCGTTTGCAGCATTTCCAACTACAAAGAAAATAAAATATATTACCAACATATCATAATAGCATTATACTTTCCAAAAATTACCAAAAAAAAAAAAATAATAATACCAACATATCTAACTATAACTAACATATCATTATAGTATTTTACTTTCCAAATACACTTAAACATACGTCATTGTACTTTCCGAAAATTACCAAACTATAAAATATCAACATATCATTATAGCATTATACTTTCAAAAAATTACCAAACTACAAAATATCAACATATCAAACCATAACCAACATATCATTATAGCATTGTACTTTCCAAAAATTACCAAACTACAAAATATCATCATATCACACCATAACCAACATATCATTATAACATTCTACTTTCCAAAAATTACCAAACTACAAAATGTCAACATATCAAACCATAACCAACATATCATTATAGCATTCTACTTTCCATTATAGCATTGTACTATATATACTAAACAAACAATTACCTGTGATTGTGGTGGTTCTTGTGTCATCAGTTGTTCCTAATCGTACATAGACACAACAGTAGGAGGTTTACGCCCAATGCCTCTGATATGTCCGTGTCAAACACCCAATATTCTTTCAAAACATTTTCTTATATCACTTGGTCTTAGACCGCCTGCTGCAGAAGAAGCTTGTGTTTGTTGATTGATCTCCTGGAGTAAAGCATTTTGTATTTTCAAAAAATAATAAACATCATAAACATTAGATTACTAAATACCCTTGACGATATAAGCACTTATATGAAAATAAAAATTAACCACTTACGTATTTTTGCTCGACTACAGGACTATAAAATACCCCTTGGCGGTTGGAATTAGCCTTACGGAATGCTTCGATTCGAGTGATATCCTATTTAACATTAAAAATTAGAATAATTATACTTCAAATAAACATTTAAATATATCATAACTTACTTCTTTGAAACATGCATTAATGTACAGGCTCGACCCCCCTCTGTTTACAACTACTTGTTTTGCACAGACTTCTGTGTTTGACGCCGAACTCCTTAAAAATTCGGGCATTTGAAAATGTTCGACTGCCTTCGCCCAATTTTCAGTTGACATACCCTTGGGGGTTTGTTTAATGCCATTGGGATATCTGCAGGCCCCCGATAAGCTTTAAATATGAATGGGCTTTACTTTTCCAGCCTCTGTAAACTTTTGCAAGACTCGAATAAATGCTCTATAGCAATTGAGCACGCTTCGGATCCAAGTTAACCTTATCCAAATCAAAATTATTCTACAAATACAAAAAAGTTAGTTAATTAAATAACAATTATAACTAAACTTAAAATATTATCTAAGTTACCTTTAGATGCACAACTGTTGCATTCCTTAATACGTGGGAAACATTGTCCCAACCAGATACATTAAATGGGACGTTGTTCCACAAATACCTACCAATTTCATGTGACAACCAATTAGAAGGCTTCCCGGCAGGGGAATATGTGATCTCCCTATTGAAATCCAAATGCACGGGCTTTCCCTTGTTTGCCTGTATCCACTTCCCTAGCTTGATGTTCTCTGACAATCCCTTTCTTTTTTTGGAAGCTCGATTGAAAAATTCAATTAAAAATATTAGTCACGATAACTTATAATAAAGTAATAAAAATAGCTAATAAATATATCATAATAAAACTTAACATCTTGTTCATGTTGTCCGCGACCAAAGCCTCCTGGAGGTGGTGGAGCCCTAGCTCCATCACCACCGTGTCCATTTGTTGTTGACCTTGATATACATCAACTTTGCTAAAAAATAAAGGAAAATAAACTTACAACTAGGATATAACTTGGTTTCGTCTGCCTCTAACAACTGTTCAAAATCATCATCAAAACCGCTACCCCCTGTATCTGAGGTTCCTTCATCGAGGTTGGTATCATTTTCTCTCAACTCCCACATAACATCGTCAATAACACCAACTATCTCGTTACTTGGTGATATGACATATACAACCGGAGGAATTAAAGGTTCATCGTGATATATCCACGTTCCGTATGACCGACTGAAACCATATATACGAACATGACATCTCATTGCCTTCGGATCCATGAAGTAACGATTATCACATTGCTCACACGGACATCTGGTTTCACCTTTACAATCTAGGTGTAACATGGATCTCTTGACAAAAGAGTCGAGTCCTAGCTGGAACTCAGGAGATTGACGATGTGGATTAGTAGTCCATCTTTTATCAATAGACATGATGCAACTGAAAAAAAGTTTAGTGTTTAAGGTTTACTCTACGGGAAGCAAAAACCAAGTAGACTATTCATAAAGTTGATGATTCAAAAAGTATCCCCAACACGGGAACACATGAACAAATAATCAGAAATGGATAGAGTATTCACAAAGGTAGGATTCTAAACCCACTTTTTGAATACCTTATCTCATATGTGAACGTGTATTACACGATTGTATGTTTAAGAAAAATTCGGAAACATTTCCCCTTAGCTCCCAAGCATATATATATATATATATATATATATATATATATATATATATATATATATATATATATATACCCGAGGAGGAAAGAGAAAATGACAACCAGATATTTCTTAAACAAACAATCATGTAATACATGTTGACATCCTAAATGAGATAAAGTATTCAAAAAGCAGTCCAAAAACGGGGACAACCCGAAATTAATTTCTAAATCAATTTTAGGCGGGTATTTCTACGCTCTTGATGATTATGAAGAAGAAACTTAAACTAAAGTACGATGTTATGACAGAAAATAAACAAAAGTATAACGTTATAATTAACAAAAGTTTCATAATTTTGTTAATTATAACATCATACTCTTGTTTATTTTCTATTACATAATATTATGGTTTACAATTAATTTAATATTTTCTTTTTATTGATTTTTTAAAACTTATTTAACTTTATTTTATAATTAGTTTAATTTGATTTTATTATTAAATTAATTTAATTATAATATTAATATTAATTTGATTTTATAATTAATTTAATTTGATTTTATAATTATAATTATATTTATTTTATTTTAATATTAATATTA